TACCTCCCACAGACTACTCTATACCTCCCACAGACTACTCTATACCTCCCACAGAAAGTATTGATCAACTGCTTATCTGTGATAAATTCAGCTGACAAATAGGAAAAGAGGAAGTACTTTGGTTGTAAGATTCACAGCGACAGAAAGGAAATAAACAGTGTACTCTGTTAAGTGCCGTGGGACCATGGAGCACAGGAGTTCTCTTCTCTGTTGGAAGGCTCTTGAGTTAGGCGATAGGAGGCTGCCATCACAGCATGGACAAAGACCTTCCAGACAGAGCAGGTACAGCCTTAGAAAGGCAGCAGCTAGCAGGTCTCACCGGCTAAGACAACACTCTTCTTCACTACGGGATAGAGGAAAAAAAACTAGAAATTAAGTGAATTTAGATAGGAAAGAAATTTGAGGGTGTGGAATGGCGAGGGAAAAGCAAGAAACTGTTGCATGGGAGGGGGCCGCTTATTGTCCTGGCTGCCCAGAACCGAAATAATCACACAGAAACTGTATTCAGTAAATCACTGCTTGACCCAATAGCTCTAGCTTATTGGCTAACTCTGACATCTTAATTTAACCAATTTCTATTGATCTGTGTATTGCCATGAGGTCGTAGCCTAACAGCAAAGTTCCAGCACATCTATCTCTGGCTGCAGATCCATGACATCCCCCTCACTCTCCCCTTCTTTCTCCTAGCATTCAGTTCTGTTTTCCCTGTCTACCTAAGTTTTGTCCTATCAACAGGCCAAGGCAGATTCTTTATTCATTGTTGATAATCGCAGCATACAAAAAGGACTCCCACATCAAGGAACAGGTCATTTAAACAGAGATTCAGCAACTTTTCAGGCTGGGTGGTTTGTACCCAGTTGACACTGCAGAGTTGTCCAGAGGGGAAATCTTGCGTGGAAATGTTTTAACGGCAGAGATGTTTTGCTTATTAGCACACTTCATGTTTGCGGCCTATTCGTATAACAAAATGCCCAGGAAAACTAGGGAGAGATGTTGTCCTTGGGTTATGATTGTGATGGTAGGCGTTTCGGTCCATGATCTTTGTTGTTTTGCCCCTGTTATAGGTGACACATCATAGCAATGACATCGCTTACGGCAGCAAAGCCCATGTGAATGGGGCCTGGGGGTGGGGGCGGATTGGATGTCTTGGTCTCTTCAAGGGTGTGCTACCTCCATAGCCTAACTTCCTTACACTGGAGTTTTTTTCTTAAAATCAGCTGTAGGAAGACCAAGCCATCAGCACTAGAGTCTGGGGGAGTCAGTCAGATCCAAATTATAACATACCCAAACACCTAAGCCAGGGCAAGCCAAAAGGAACCCTCAATAAATGTGTTGGGCCTTATGAAAATGCTAACAGAATTATTTTAATTAACCTTCTTTTCTCAAGTTACTCATTCAGTATCATTTCTTTGTGTCAACTGTCTTTCATCGCTCTGGATATTAAATGCATTGGTTATTTGTGTATACCTCTCCCACCTTAAGAAGGCCGTGAGCTATTTCAGTTGAGGACATTTTCACATTTGTCTGCATTTTCTCTGGTGTTTCACCTTTCATTCTGTTTCTCCATGATGCCGGAGGAAAACCATCCTTTAGCACCTCATGCCTGTCATCCCAACAATAAGGCAGGAGGACTATCTAAATTCAAGGACAGTCTGGCTAAAGAGTGAGACATTGTCTTGAACAAATAAACAAGCAAACAGAGTGTTAGTACAAGTACCTATTAAACATTTATATCACAGATGGGTGGTGTGTGCAGCTCCCTGTTACAGAATTGTCCAGCATGTGTGTGTCATGCTCTAAGATGAACACCCAGCTCTGAAAACAAATTATGAAAGTAGAAAAATCAGAATTAATTGATAGCTCGGAAATAAAGTTATAAGTGCCTTTAAATAGGAAATTAAGAAAAATTGCAAGTTGTGGCAATATCATTTTATTAAATTAAAACTCTCAATAGACAAGTGAAAAAAATAATTTAGAGGTTTTTTTACACAATTAACAGGTAACATTTATACATATATTGATGTGCTGATATGAAATACTAAATTTAAAGACAAATATTTTTACATAAAAGTAGTTGTACTATATTTTATAAAGATAGATACCAATAAATTATCAGAGATATTTAAAGGATGATAGGCCAAATATTCCCACTCTAGGTTGGGATTAAAATGATTTTTCTGAATATTCTGAATATTGATGTCCTGGATGCATTGCCATTCCTCTAAGCTAGTAACGGAAGCTCAGGCCTGGAGACAGGCCATGGTTGGCTCCAACAGTTCTCAGCTTTGTTCTTGGATATAGTTTGACCCCCAACGCTTGCTCAAGCAAATGCAACTTTGAGTGTGAAACAATACAGCCCCATCCCAGCCATCAGTAGTTTCTGAAACTCAATACAAGGCCTGCGATACAAATTAGGGCATGTCGGATGTTAGATAAACTGTAATTGGTGTGAAACTTGAATGAGCAGCCCAATTTTACAATAACAGAAATGTATATTCTATATTTCCAGGAGAGAACTAGCATCCTTCAAAATAGTCACTCGTTTCTTAGCATAGCATATAAATTCCTACTTCAGAAGTCTAGAAATAAATTGCATTTTTCCTAAAACTTAGATCCACTCCTTTAGAAAAATGGTTTCTAGAATGACATGCACCAACATGATATGATCCTTGTTTTATGTCCTAGTCATTAAAATATACATGTACATAAACATGGAGAATCAAACAAACCTTGAGCCATGATACACACAAGGCCAGATTCTATTAAGTCTCATTTTATCTAATTCAACAAATACGTATTGGCTGTTTACCACTTTTAGGTCACCAGTGTAGGTAACACTTGCAGCAGAATTTCAGGAACACGACGCTCAAACCATCCACATCAAAAGCCAAACTTTACCATCACCTTAAAAGTAGTCAGAAGCAGAGCTAACATCAGATACTGAATAGTGCCGGATACGTGTAACTAGGTGTGAAAGCCTTGGGTCATGAGAAAGGACAGTAGAAATCAATATCCACAGGGAAGACACGCTCCCAGGCTTGACATGTCTTAGGACGCCACCAGAAGCCAAATGACAGTTCTTGTTGCCCGCCAATCTGAGACTCAATTTTCATCCTGGTTTGTTTCCTTAAATGGGTGGGAAAAATACATTATAGACTTTCCGCATTAATGAAGCTTACGGTGTCCCCCAAACACATATTCCTATCTCCGACAGTGGGGTATATATTGATATCTATAGTTCCTATGAACCATCTCCAGCCCAGTTTAAGAAGAAATCATTCTTACGGTCTTGGAGTCCGCCTCTTCAGAAGGGCACCCAGGGGAATGCCACCCCCACAAGCTAGTTATTTAAAGGAATAAAAGCAGCTGCAATATGGTAAGTATTTAAAAGCTGACTTTCGAATCCCTTTATAGTTATATCCTGTGAAACCATTTCTAGGGAATGTATACAGAGAGGGAAAGAGATGTGCTCGGGTCATCTCACACCCTCTGAAGAGTTAACGTGTCGAAGAGGGAACAAAGCTGTACTTGGTCTTCTCGTCTGACCCCTTGAGAAGAAGAGGACAGGCCGGGCGGGGACAGTGCAGTCCTGCCTTGGCTTGTGGCTGGAGTGGAATCTCTCTGCACTTGAGAACCTAAATCTCCTCTAAGAAATTGTTTAGATTCTGAAAAACCAGAAGCCAGACATCTCTGAAGGAGAAACTCCGAGGAGACCAGATCATCAAGGGTCTTTAAAACACCATGCAGGAGCTTGTGGTGGCCTGGGGAGGAGCCTAAGCTTTCTGAGTGATAAAACCGTCAGGAAATGTGGTCATTGTGTAGACTTGCTGAGGTCTCAGAGGGAGCAGCAGGGGCCGAGAAGGTCTCTTGGGTTCCTGAGGACTCAGCACTTGGGCTGTTTGAACTAGACCACAGAAGAAGTCCACCCTAACCTAACCCTAACCCATGGGCCTGAGGCTTTTTGGTTCCTACATCATCACAGGACAAAAACCCTTACAGCACCTTCTAAAGCAGATCTGGTTCTAACTGGTTTCTTAGTACTGCAGCAAAGTCGCCCTTTACTGAAGAGTTCCTCTCTGTAAGCAAGAATTCTTTTCATTCCTAGGTCATTGCTGGTGTGTCTGCTGGAACGTCCCGCTTTATTTTCTTTCTCAGAAACAAAAGCAAAGATGCCCTGGTGAGCCATACCTCTAAGCCTGTGTTTTTTCTGGATAGGAACCAAACTTGCATTGGTTCTTTCTTGCCCTTCATGGACACGGGGCCTCTGTGCTCCAAATGGAATTGTGGGTCTGAGTTTTCTGGAGACATGAGACACCTGGAGACAGGAGAAGGAGCAGACAGGGAAGCTGATTGAGGCCATGGAGAGAATCCAGACAACCAGACCCCACAGTGCAGGGGAAGCTAAAGGCACTTAGGATTGCAGCAACAGTGCTTACGAGAAACCTCCACTGTGATGTGGAGTGGTTTGCCACCAAAGCAGCGGTACACACTTCTCAAATAGAAAATAATAATCCCAGAAGCAGAGGGGAGATACAGAGGTGGCAGCTGTTTAAAGGGAGTGAAGCCACACAGTTTGTCACACACTCCCCTGTAAAGAGCATGACGTCCCCCCTCACCTGTATGTATACTCAGACACGTTAATCTTTCCCTTTTCTCCTGTGGTTTCTGTTCTGCTTGTGAGGTTGACGGTATTTCCAAAGAGGCAGTACCGCGGCATCCGCTGGCCAATGACACCTGTCACCACCTCCCCGGTGTGGATCCCGATTGTGATCTGGAGAAGGCAAAGTTGGACTTCGGTAGCCTTGGTTGTCAACATAAGTGTGATTTTACAGGCTATTTCAAATGCCCTCATGCAGCGTCCCTCCGAGAAGGGAAATGGTCTGTCCAAAGAGAAAGGCCTGAAGATATAACAAGGGCCGCTTCCAGCATCCGTGGAGAGACAAGAGAACAGAAAGAGTGGGAAATTTCCTTGTCCTCAGGACAGTCTGTCTACAGAACAAACGAGCTAATTTATTTCCCATGTCTGGAGGAGTGTGATACAATGGTCAGTGTTCTCTCAAGATGCCCTTTTCTGTACATGTTAACCATCTCCAGATTAGAAGTGTGCATCGGTTATTAACTGAGTTCTGCCATTAGCGTCCCAGTGTCCGATTTCTCTGCTCACCTGGACAGATTCCCCGTCTACCTGAACTTGACCAGCGATTTCCATCATGTCCAAGGCCAGGTGGCAAATGGACCGTGCGTGGTGGATACAAGGTTCCGGTAAGCCGCTCACGGTCATGTACTTGTCGCCAACAGTCTCCACCTAAGGTGACACACACATTCACGTGTTAAAAGGGGGCATAAAGTGACTGGTTATTGTAATTATTATAAAACATCGTATTTCCCAGAATTCCTTAAAGCTAGAGTCGTGTGTGCTCTAGCATGATGGGAGCTTCTAACAATTTGGAACTTACATGATATGGGTTCTTGATCATTTCCTCTGAGATCCCCTTATAACTTAGTAGAACATGTACATGTGCAAGCACATATGTGTAAAGATGCCCTTACCCATGTATGTGCAAGTGTGTGTGGGTAGGTGTGCAGTGTGCTTGCCTATGCACATAGACTTCAGATTGATGGAAGCTCTCTCTCTCTTTCTACCTTAATTTTTGCCATTTTTCCTTTTTTTGTGTGTGAGCATATGCTGGTGGGGATCGATCTGGAATCCAGGTCCTCATACACTCCAGGCAGACACTCTGCCACTGACCTATAGCCTCAGCCTGCTACCTTGTTTTCAGACAGGGTTTCTTACAAAACCTGGAGCTGAATGTTTAGTTCAGCTGAACTGGCAGGCCAGCAAATCCCCGGGATGCCCCTGCCTCCTCTTCCCCAAGCACTGAGGTTCCAGATGTGCACTGCCCTCCTGGCTTTTCCAAACTCATGCCTGCACAGCCCTCTATATAATGTCTGTGAATTCACTTCTTCCTGGAACAGCACCGATTCAATAACACAGGAGCTGTTGGCTGAGGTTCATTGATTTATTGTGGCCTCTAGCCACGTTTTAATTTGTCACGTTTTAATTATTATTTAATTTTTAAATTGAATTGTTGATTTGGTGCATGCATGCTGTGCAGGTACATGTCTCTGCGAAGATGCTGTGTGGAGGCCAGGGCATGGATGACCTTGGGTATCCTGCTGCAGACACTGCCACCTTCCTGTTTAACATAATCCAAGTAGGCTGGGTTAAGTCACGTACTGCTGTGATGTGCTCACCAAGTGCAGCACTGTGCCTCAGAAAAGAACCACAGAGTAAATAGTCCATGTGGAGGTCTATTATCCTGGGAGCCTAGCGACAGTCAGGAACGTTCTTGCCTTTATAAAACAGCATTCCACTGACTTCATTTTTCCGATATTATATTTGTTTCTACTTAAAACAAAGGGCAGAGATGTCTTGTAAATGTTTATCTTTAAGTTGATGGTATCTAAAAGTAAACCTGAGCCCCAAACCCTTCTCAAGCCCCATGACTTCTTCATGGTGCAAAGCATTTATGTATTTTAGGGGAAAAATGTCTTTGGCAGGGCACAAAAATGAATGCTGTGTTTATAGTGAATGTATTAAACAATCTGCAGAGACTCGTTAACCTAAGTGCAAAGACACTGCCGGATACTTCATGTCAGCCCGAAATGGTCTGCTCCATGAAACCTCACCGTGGTTGCGATGAAAAGAAAGTTTCCTAAGTGGTAACTACTCAGTCTTGAAGTTTATACCATAGCTTAGTGCTGCCCTCAGCCTTGGTCGGAGAAGCTTCATTTTACAGTGAGCAGCTGCTATTGCAGAGACTCGTGACTGGTCAAGGGGCTGAGAATGACACTGAGTGAACAGCCTAAGGACAGCATCTGTGTGTCATCTCCTGCAGGCTCAGCAGACATCTGGGAATGTCTGTCAGTGGGGACGGAACAAAATGTAAAAGCCAAGGTTGGGGAGGAAGGCTGGGGAATGACATCTTCTGGAAGCGTCATGGCTGTTGTACTGCAGGTCACACTGCAGCTTCAGGTGCCTTCCCAGGAATGACACAAGTCTGAGGCGAGTCAGCGTGAAATCATCATTGGGGCCTTGTGTCTGGAGACAGGAGACACCTTGTCTGCAGTGCTCTAACTACTGGTAAGCCATCCACACGCCAATGGATGGCTCCACACCCATGCTCACGCAGGCCACCCTGGTTAAACTCAAAGGGCCAGAAAACAAACCACACATAAACAAAAAAACAAAAGCAGGAGAGTGGGAGGGAGGGGTGCTTTTTGGGAAAAGTGAGATGGGAGACGGGGTAAGAGAAGCTGAGTGCGAATATGATCAGAATGCATTGCCCACATGTATGAAATGACCAAATCATGCATTTCTTTACAATGAGGAAATTATTGAAGCTAGCGGCCTGCAGGGACTCAATAGACCTTATAACACTAGGAAGCAGCTAGAGGCCTGAGCAGTGACCATGGGCTTCTGTGGGGCGTCTCAGAAGCCCAGACCGGTCTGCACGACAGCAGGCTCCCCGTGAGGACTTACCTTATAAACGAACGGGTTTTTCCGTGAGTCAGTCAGTGTGTCAAATCTGGTATAGAGGTCGTTAAGGAGATTGACAATCTTCATGGCCCCTTCTCCAGATGCATGCTTGCTGCAGAAAGCATTGAAGCCCACAATGCCGCTGAAGAGGATGGTCACATTGTCGTATCTTTTGGCAGGCACTGGGCGCTTGTGTCTCAGCTCATTGGCGACAGACGGAGGAAGGACAGAATACAGCAATCTGTGGGGATTAGGGTAAAGCACTGTAAGACACGCTGGGAGCCGGACCACTCCAGCCTCACCTCTGGACTGCATCAGACATTGCACTGGATTCTGAAAAGAAACCCTTTAAAGTCAGCGTCGAACGTTAGCTCCGTACAAAGCAAAGAAACACAGCAACCAACTGCTGGCATCTCAGCTCTAACCCTGAACCATTTCAAACCAACTCAAAATAAACCAAGCAAGTCAACAGGTAGGGAAAACAAAAGACCCTCAATAGGACCTCACGGTTTTCGTCTGCAGTCCTGCCTTTTCCTGTTCTTAAGACAGTGACATGTTTGACATCGTCAGTATGAGAATCTAAAGCATGACATAAACTGCCCAGTAACAGAAGCATGTTCACTCTATAGGAATAAAGTTTATCTCAAATATTGCAAGGTGACAGAAGATAAGATAGAATTCACTCTTTCCTGGGAGAAACTGATGAAAAAGATAGAAAGGGGTCCAAAAGGGTAGACATCTTGTTTATAGGCAGTGCTGAGACCACTACCATAGCACTGGGAATGAGCCGAGGAGAGAGAGTGTGTGGTCAGCACACGGTAGGAGGGAAGCCGGTGGATTGGAAGAAAAGCAAAACCTTTTGGCTCCAAGTCTGGAGAAACAAAAAGAAAATGAGGCTTTCTTATCCGTTTCATCCTTCTAGCCAGCGGGCAAAGTTCAAATATGAAAAACAGACCTGAGCTCTCTCGTTTCTCTCTAGCCACAGCGGAATTTCCTCGGTGATTAATTTTAGCTTCTAAACAGAAGGTATGTCATGCAACATTGAAATTAGATCTTCATACTGAATGTGAGCGGCAGAGGAGCCTCGCTTTAGAGGAAACTAGATGCTTTGTCATGCAATATTCTTAAACTCTCTGCTAGAAAATCACACCCAAATCTGTCAATCTAAAAGCCAATTGTGAAATGTAATGAAACACAGCGTTTCTAAATAGGGGCAAATGGTTGTTGAAAATCCACTCGACCTTGGGCACACCAGAACAAAGAAAGGGTCCTGTGATGGGTCTTTATATTCTGATGCAGAAGTCTAGCTCTAGCGGCAGTGGTATGAGCTTCTAAGGTTGTACCATAGGCTAGTCAGAGACGTGAACGCTCAGGCCACCAATTCAGGGGCAATGTGAATCGGCAGCATGTTTAGTATGGAATGAAGAGCCTATGGATACTTTCATAATCTAAAGCACCTTTGTACGGTTAGATGTCTGTTTTGCTGCTGGTGTAGTTTGGACCCGAGACATTCCCCCAAAGGCCCATGTGTTAAAGCCATAGTCCCCAGGCTGTGGTGCCATTGCAGACTGATGGAACATTTAAGAGGTGTAAGGCCCAGTGGGAGGAAGTTGGGCCACTTGGACACGCCCTTGGCATGGGTCTCCTCTTCCTTTTAGCATCCTAGT